CAGATGGATTCAGTCTAGAGGTAAGCCGAATAAACAATCATTTTATGTTACTAAAATATTGTTTGTACTTTACTACTTTATATTTGTAAACTAGCAATAGTCAATGGTCTAATACACTATAGGTATTAGGTAATAGGTCTATATTGATCAGTAAATATAGTTTGACTCGATGATTTCGCGAGCTTCTCTTACTTCTCTGCCTGACTGCTTGTTTAATACTTTAATTAGTTTAATGCTAATGACTGACATAACGCTAGGAAAACTTCAAAACTGGAAATGGCCAAATGGGAATGCCTCAATACCCCCAGCCTGCTTAAAGTTAACCGCTTTTTATATTAAGTAAAAAATATACACGCAACAGCGCAACAGCGCAAAATTTCATATCAAACGCGCAATTTCGGAAATCGGACGCGCAAAATTTCGGAAAATATTGATCTCGGGTGCGCAATTTGCAAACTTTCCAGTCTGGGAAGATCCTTCATAAATCAATTGCTCCAAAAGAAATTGCCTGTTTACCAGTATTAGTTCGAACATATGGTTTATACATATTTAAATTAGACGAGTATCTGGTATTATAACTATGAACATCTCTTGAATATTGGAAGAAATTATAAAAAATGTGTGGCTACAAACCTTTGTGCCACGCATGAATAAATTTCAAGGCATGTAGGCGATATACATTTTGAACTGTTAAGATATCAAGCAAATTTAGCAATGGGAGAGCACTTGCAGTATCTTTACCATATAACTTTACAAAAAATATTAACCTGATTGCATGATTCTGTTTCACTTGTACTTTTTGTATAAGCGACGTGCAAGCGCTGCCCCATGCCAAAACGGCGTATGATATATATGGATAAATGACACTATAATAAATTTGTGATAATTGCTTGATAGAGAGATAGTGTTGCAGTTTGGATAAAATGCCAATGCCACGAGATATTCGAGAACATATATATGGTGTATGATAGCTCCAAGATATCGTGTCATCTAGCATTATACCCAAATACTTAATATGATCTTTCCGGATCAATTTTTTGTACGTTCCATCATTATTTTAAATTTGTATCGTTGTCGAAAAATTTTTTCTGGTGGGCTTTATAATCATAACTCGTTTTACTTATATTAATTGATAACTTATTAACATCGCACCATTCCACAGAATAGATATAGGGCAGAAGGTTCACTCAAGGGTAAAATGTGTACCAGAATGTCAGCCGACTTCCGGCGTGGCCGCCATGTTGAAAGCAACCAAACAAGAGGAAACTTTATACGAGTTAATATGGTGGAATACGAAATAGAGCCACTAAAAGTGCTCTAGCTTTTTATGTATCCAAGCAAAACTCATGATACTTTGAAATATCATGAAGAAGAGGTTGTTCTTTGATTTAATTGTCACTATGAGGATGAGAAACGAATTTAAGCGTGGAATTTGGCCATTGTCATACATCGATTAATTTCACCTCAGTCTTTGGCGAATAGTGATAAACATATAAAGTTATATAGCTTATGTGTGGTTAGTCCGATTGCCGTAAAATATGTTTTGAGTGATAGGTTGGTGATATTTCATGGTGTACAAAAGGATTAAGGACGTGAATGCCATGAACAATGAAGGAAATAAATCGAGTTAATCGAACCTTCTGTGATCAACTATTCAATACAGTGTAATTCAACTTGACATATTGGCCTACAATCGTTTAATATAAAATAATATTGCGATATGAAAGAAATTGCTGGACCTACTTCTTCTTCAAAAATGAATTTTAGGGATAATATATTGACTTGAACCTATTGAAATCCTTTGGCTGTGACTTTACAAATTTGGTATCACAAGTGACAAGGCCTCCTATGACATTATCATGACTGTTCATTGATATTGGAAAAATAGTTTAAAGATCAATGCTTGGATGAATCAGGGAACTTCATTTACAAAACAGACAATAAGAGACCTGATTTATCTTAACGACAGTTTAAATTATAAATCTGTGAGATTCTAATATACACTCTAGTTTTTAAGATACATATTAACAGTTTACTCCACAATGAGGGGAAAATAATCTGAATATGAGAATTTTCTCTGTTACTCAAGTTTATGTTACATTTAGCACCAAGTATATTATTGTTGCTATCACCTTAGGGGCTGTTTACATGAGCCCAGCTAGCCATGCAGGCTGGCCCGGTTAACCAGGCTGAAGGCCTGGCTAGCCAGGAGGTTACCTGAGCTGGTGACTTTACATGGAGAAATTTCAACCCGGTTATCCGGGCATCCCCTTTGACTCAAGTGAGATCTCAGCTAGGCAATGAAACTTTAACATCTAGCGTATTCTACCATGTACAAGTTGTACACAACCCCAAAAATGTAAACAACACTTTGATTTGATTTTAGTTCCATAAATCCATATTTTTTATCCATATTATCAATCCATATTTAATTTAATTTTAGTTCCATAAATCCATATAATTTAGTTCCATAAATTTGAGTTTAGACCATAAATCTATTAAGATCTGCAACTGTCCTACATGCACAAATGCCATCCAATGTAATGACCTAGATGATAACAGGAAGCAGTTTTGTTTCTTTAAGGCCTTTGATCAAGCAGAAAACACATTTGAAGGTCTTCATGTTCCAACAAATTGCTTTCTGGCCTACATCATGAAAGATAAAAAAATTGTTTTTGAGGTTGTGCATTTACTACAGCTTGAAATTTGCCAATCGTGAACTTTCCAACACTAAAAAGAAGAACAGAAAATATTTGAAGGTAGCACATCTTCATAACCATGTGCACTGGACAATATGCTGTGTTGCCAAAACAATTAAGCAATATAACTTCTACAAGTTATATTGCTTAAAATCTTTTACACCAAAGTACATAAGAACTGAACTGTAAGATACAAGGCTGGTGTTAAATCTAATGTTGATGGTAATCATACACAGGAGAAATTACTAAGGAGAAATCCCACAAATCATAGTCTGTCTCGTTGATTCAAAATCTCCAACTGCTACATATTGTTTCCTATTAGAAAGATAACTTGCAAACCATTGTAGTGGAAGACCTCTTATACCGTAAGCTTCCAGTTTGTTCAATAGTATATTGTGATTCACAGTATCAAATGCTTTTGCAAAGTCTATGAAAACTCCACAAGTATACAAATCTTCATCGATTGACTTCCTCAATGTTTCAGTAATTTCTGTTATTGCCTGTGTGGTTGAATGCACTTTACGAAAACCAAACTGAAATTCAAAAAGGATGTGTTCTTTCTCGACATAAGGCAAGAGTTGCTTATAGACCAACTTTTCAAAGATTTAGGTAAAGACGGACAAAGTTGAAATAGGTCGATAATTTGTTGGGTCAATTGTCTCGCCCCCTTTATCAATCGGTGTAATTTTTGAAATCTTTAAAATCTCAGGGACAACACCTCGAAGTAAAGATTGATTGAATAATTCTGTAAGTGGCTCAGTTATATAATCACATGCCAATTTTATGATTTTCTGTGGTAGTCCAATCACAGATTTTGTTACTTTTAAATTCATAATTAAATCACATATCTCATTAGAGTCTATAGGTCGAAACATAAAGCTGTGTTGGAAAGACCTCTTAATATAACTGACAGGTGTAGTATTATGACATGGTATACTTTCAGCGAGTTGGTTACCCAGATTTATATAATGATTATTCAATTGACTGGCAATGCTCGTTCTATTTGTATATAGTTCATTTTTATATAATAACGTAGTTAACTCATTAACTGGCAAGCTGTTACAATGTTACCACCCCCTAAAGTGGCAAGCAATATGGCGAATTCATGATTGAATTCCAAGCTTTCACCAAAATGCCAATATCTCAGAAACAATTGACATTAATGCGGTCGAATTTTGTGAGTGTTTGATCGCATATTTCTACTCAAAAATACCCTTTAAAAAATCGTATCTGCTCACTTGAGTTCCGTGTTCATCTTTCTTGTGATTTCCGACTTCTATTTTTAATAAAGTTTGGAGAAATCCTCATCTTTTTGGCTGAAAATCCCGTGCAAGGTTCATAGAAGAACTTGGCCCAAAACGTCAATACATTCGCTTTCCTTTCATGCCAAATTTTCGTTGTAAATCATTCAAAAACGTCTTCTTTTTTCTCTTTTAAAACTTGCTGTGAAATCCTTCTTTGCAACAATAACGCCATTATTCATTATTTTTGAAAAACTAAGGTTTTAAACTTGAAAAACTTTGTGAGTTTTTGGCCGATTTTCTTGCATGATACACCGTTGAAAAGCTCGAATTTCGCGTTCTATTTTCGTATCCGTTGCTAGGCAACCCGATAAACACGTGCTCAAATATCATGCCCGCAAGTTGAGGTGTCATTTGAGGGCGCATTGCCAGTTACCCACTTGCCAATCTCAGGGTGCATCCGGGCGCATTGCCAGTTAATGAGTTAATATGGGTTGCGAGGAACTCTTTTTCCTATTTATAACCATCCCTATTATCTTCCAGGTTGCTTTCATGTTTCCACTATTAAGTGCAAATTTATTTTTAAAATAATTCTTTCTAGCAATTTCTTTTAATTTGTTTAATTTATTACTGTAGGTTTTATACTTTCTTACTTTGATGGGATCATTAGTTAAATAATGCGTTTTAAACAGTTTTTGTTTGTGCTTTATGGAGACTAATATTACGTTTGTTATCCATGGTTTATTTTTCCTTTTTCTTTTTTTATTCGATAACCTACATACCACCGGAGCATGCTTATCAGTGATGTCCTGAAGTATGTCTATAATATTATTCATACTAACATTAACATCCTCTTCACTAATCAGGTTGGGGAAATTAATATTTTGAATGTCATTAAGAAACATATCTTTATTAAAATTTGAAAAGTCTCTAGAATACTGAATACGATCTATTTCAGGCAGTTTGTTGGCTATTGTGCAAAATACCGGGCAAGTGGTCAGTTATGTCAGCTGTACAAATTCCGGCATTGATGACTTTTTCCGGAACATTAGTATAATGTTTATTAATGTTGCTGTATGGTCGGTTATACGAGTAGGTTTTGTAATCAATGGCATAGATCCCATTTCAAGAATCATATCAAGATACTCGGATGTAAAATTGTTTGCATTGTACTGTAAAAAGTTAATATTTATATCGCCTATTAGTACAACTTCGTGACCTTTGTTGTTCAGCGTCACTAATGTATTCCTTAGGTGTTCATAAAAAAGATTACAATCATTATTTGGATGTCTATAGATACAGCCAATTGCAATGTTTTTTTGTTGTTTATTCTCAATTTCAATCCAGCACGATTCGACACCTTCCAAAATTATTTCTAAGCCCTTCCTTTGAACAAAGTCTAGTTGTTCATCCACATAAAGACCTACACCTCCAGCGTTTGTTTTCGAGTTAGACCCCAGAAACGTGTAGCCTTCTAAGGTTATGTTGTATAAATTATTTTCTTTTAATTTTGTTTCTGAGACAGCTATGATCTTGGGTGTTTCTTTAACTGAGCACAAAAGTTCTTCCAATAATAATATATTTTTTGGTAATCTTCGCATGTTGCAGTGTAAAATAGAAAAACCATTTTTAATCCTAGAGCGCTCAATTAGGGTTCCGGTTTTCTTAACACTATAGTATTTCGATTCAATATAATTTTCTAATGCGTTTTCCTGGTCAAAAATTTTTTCAGGACTTTTAATTATATCTTTAAATAAATCATTAGTTTCTAACAAAGAATACAAGCTAGAATCAAGCCAAGCCCCTGTTACTTTACTTTTTTTTTTATTATTATTATTATTATTATTATTAAAAAATTTCCAAACTAGCAGTAACAACTGAATTACTTTGGAATTACAGGGTATAAGAACATAGGTATTTAATCTATTCTATATTTACAGGTAAAAATAGGTAAGTTAGATAAAAATAACGTTAGTAATCTAAAG